TGACACTGGATCCATCTCCAAGGAGTGGGCTGATATTAACCAAAACAAATGCAATTGTCAAGCAGAAGTAAACACTGAAGTAGGACAATATGTATGTCCTCCCATCACATACAGGTGGTCTGTATTAGAAGACAAGTATAGAAATAAACAGAATATCAGAACACCAAGTAACAAAAACAATATGGACTTTCAAGGCAGCCTAAGCAATGCATTCTATGTGAGGAATTCAGCTGTCACCAAGGTTATCAATACAAGAGATGCTAGCAGACCTTAAGGTGTACATTTTAGACAAGGAAGCTGGAAGCCACCCCTTCCGGGATTAGGAGAGCTTTGCCAGAATAGCCATTATGTTAGTTACTGCTTTACTGAGAGCCCCCATCTCCTTTGGGCTGTGCATAAATACTCAGGGCTCCCCTAAGTGGATGCCCCACTCCTCTTCTGTTCACCCAGTCTCATTCCTGATGGGGACCAGAGCAGTGGACTTTTTTTTGCTTGTTAAATTAAATCAAATTCTAGTCCTGGCTGTCCAAAGTGGCTCCCATATCCCTTTGTTTTGAGTTTTAGGTGATCCCAAGTACTTTAGTTACACATTTGGAAACACAAGTTCTTTTGGTGACCACCAGACAAGAGTAACCATTTTACTAGTTGAGCCTGATTTCCTACTTTTTTCAGTGTTTGGGGGCACACGATAGCCCCCCTCACCCAAAGCTTATGTAGAGTTCTCAACCATACTCTTCAAACTTGGAATCCTATTGAAAAGGCTCCTCCATTAGGTCAACCAGAGTGAAGATTCATGAGGTTCTACTACCCATCCTGTCTCTATAGTAAATCCTGGCTTGTGAAAAGAGCTTCTCCTAAGAGGCTCATGATATGTGTATTTTCTTGGTTCTGTTTTCTGCACTTTGGTTGGACACACGATGGTGGCCTCATAACAGAAAGTATTGCTAGCACACCACAATTGACAATGCATTTTGGAAACAAAGGGGAAAATGTGAAATAAAGTTACAGTGGCACTATAGTAAGTGGACACATTTTCAAATTAGGCCCAAAAAAGGCCCAAATTAACCACCTGCTAATATCAGTGAGTAAAACTCTGGAGTTGAGGTTAGAAAATGGGAGTTTGGATCTCAGTTCTGTCACTTAGGCCCTTTCATTTTAGATAAATTGCCTAATCTCTCTGATTCCGAGCTTCCTTGTCTATAAAATGTGCTTGCTGACACTGACCACGTATAACTGTTGTAAGGATTTGATACCCCTGTAAGCATCCCCTAATTCCTGGTAGCATAACTGTGCCATAAATGCAGCTTTCAATCAAAATATCCTCAGTCCTGGGCTCCAAGGGAGGGAGGAGTTTTCTTCCCAGCAGAAAGAAATTTCCAGGTCATCTCCTCAAACTGTTGGGGAGAGATTATTTGGTAAGACATTCTTTCACAGAGGTTTTTAGCCTTCTGGGACTTCTGGCTCTCTGTAGGAAACTCATTCCAGTTTCCCAAGTCATGGGCCCACAGAACCTTAACTATCATGTATATATCAAACTCCCAAGTTTTCAGCAACCTCCCCCCCCCCCCCCCCCACCGACCCACCTGCCACAACCCCAATACTCACCACTGTTGTTTTCAATGCCTTCCCATCCTTTTTTTTTTTTTTTTAATATGGGAGTTTCCTTTTCTTTTTTGCAAGCTCAGTAGTACATTAAAGCCCAAAAAGCAAGCTTTTCTTATTATATCTTATATAATATATCAAGGTGTTCATAGCAGAAGTGTTTCTGAATTTGTATAGACCACTGTGGATCTAGAAACCTCCTCACGTGGCTAAGTTAAACTTTTACCATCATGTATAAAACTAAAGTCAAACAAACAAATAAACCAACAAAAAAACATGAGTATTATCTTTTGGATGATCTACCAGTTTCATTTGAAAGTGTGGACTTCCCTCTACCACCAAGAGCACCATTTTGGTCATGTTTATTCATCTGTCTGTATCTATCTGTTACCTTTGTCTATATATCTGTCTGTCTATCTATTACCTCTATCTGCTATAGCCTCTATCACATTATCTATCTATCTATCCATCCATCCATCCATCCATCCATCCATCCATCCATCCTTGCTTTTTACCTAGATAACCCCTACTGAAATATTGTTACTCTGGAAGGGTATGGATAAAAAGAGAGATGACCTTGGTGTTTTTCAACAGTGCTCACGTTCTGCTTTTGAGAAATACAGGAAGTGAAATAGATAGTAATGTTTCAACAGTTTGTTTAAAGGTGGCTGGGAAGGGAAAGTTCAGGGAGGTTGGACTGAATTAGTCAGAGATCTGAAATAGGAAATAAAGTCCTAAACAGTTATGTTATTTTTTTTTTTAATGTTTATTGATTTTTGAGACAGAGAGAGACAGAGCATGAACAGGGGAGGGGCAGAGAGAGAGGGAGACACAGAATCGGAAGCAGGCTCCAGGCTCTGAGCCATCAGCCCAGAGCCCGACGCGGGGCTCGAATTCACGGACCGCGAGATCGTGACCTGAGCTGAAGTCGGCCGCTTAACCGACTGAGCCACCCAGGCGCCCCAAGTTATGTTATTTTTTAAGTGTACTTAGTTAGGCAAAGCAAGAAGGCTTGCCTTTAGCATCCACAACAGACCTAAGAAAACAGGTAAGACACTCCTTTTTAAAAGTTATTTTAATGAAAGCTTAAATGTTATCAAAATAATAAAAGCAGATAGTTTTCAAAGATTTATTATTAAAAAGCAATGGGTGTTTATCATTCATTTTGAAGCCTATTTGTAAACCATGAGAGAGACTCAGGTCTGAGATATGGGAAATTTTCTCACATTATGTATTTGGTAATGTCCTTCTCCATTTTCTTTGTTCTCTGTCTCTCTGGATCCCCTGTTGGAAAGATGACCTCATAGATTGGTTTTCTAAGTCTGTTTTTTTTTTTTCTCTATTACTTCAGTCACACTTCTTAAAGTTTATTTCTGTGACCCTTCTCATGAATATATTGTGTTTATTTTAGCTATTATATTTTAGCTCTTTATTCTCTGAATGTTCCTTTCTAGTGGAATTTTGTTCTTGTTTTATGGATGCTATATTTTGTCTTAATTCTTGGAGACTATTAATTAGGTTTGTTTACTTTTCTTTGTGCTCTTTGTTTTTTCTGTTATTTATTTATTTTTTTTTTTCCGCTTGTTTGTTAGGATCTTCATCTAACTTGCTGGAGTTTTCCTCAGATGTTTGGTGATCCTTTGGTATCTGCTCATTTTTTACACTGAGAGACAAAGAAACCTATTGGAACCTTTGTGTGGGGAGGGGGTTTATCAGTTGGTGAGAATTCATGTACTGTTATTATTTGGTGAGTCAGCCTTACTGAGAGATCCCTTCCAGTTCTGCAGATGTTGATGTTTGGAAGTTTCCTCTGGGTCCATTAAGTTACTTAGGACAATTTGCCAGTCCTTGGGTGTGGGTGGTGGTAGGAACACCCAGTTGTCAGCTTTCTGAGAGCCCCACTACTCAGCTTGCACACCTCACATAGGACCCTGTTTCCAGCCCTGCATCACCCCTGCCTCTGTCTCTGATGCTCCCAGCCCCTGCAGGGTATGCAGAGCCAAGGAGCTCACGCTTCTTTGGGTTCTCTCTGTAGCCCATCAGGTTGTAGCATTCTTGGCTCATTCTTTATGTGCAATCGATTACTGAGTTTCATTGCTGTCTGTCCTTCAGACACATATTGAGCTCTGGCCTCTCATTTTCTGGTGGGCTTATACATATTTTACTGTTTTTCCTTACTGGGATATTTTAAGGGAGAGGAGATGAACATGAATGGCCAAGCCACTGTTTTCCCCCCAAAAAACCTTGCATAATTTGCATCTTTGTATACAACAGAGTGCACAAAAGGTTCATTTTAATGAGCTTAAATAACATTTTCATAGCCTTGTTATTTTTAAGAAAATCTGTTTCCTCCATAGATAAACTTGAGTGTTCATCCTAATTATCATATATTTTTAATCTGTTGGAGATGAATTAGTAAGGTTTCCCTGGCAATGGTAAGCTAGTGAAAAAAAGGGAATTTAACTATTTTTGGATAGCCTTGAGGAAAGGAGTTGAGGAGAATGTTCACCAAGCATGGTTCCATGATTCATCAATACACAATAAGATGAGTTCATTTTAGTTCATTCCTGTACCTCTAAGCACCATTCCAGGAAAAATCTCAGTTTCCCCTCTTCAAAGAGCATTTCAAAAGACTGAACTTGACCATCTGGGTGCTGAGAGACTTTTGCTAATGTTGACTCTCAATATTTAGGTCTTGATCCTTGGCTCTCAATACATTAATTGAACTCCATTTGGTTTGCAAAAAGCTGCCCCAGGATTTTCCAGCTGAGATAATGAGCCTCTGAAAATAACCCCGTGCTAGAATGCAGGCATCCTCTATTCAAGTAGGCATCACCTGCTGTGGGGATGGGAGAAGGGGGAGAGAGGAGGATTCACAGAGCAGCCCTGCCCTTCTTCCTCAACACATGCATGGACTTTTACTTTCCTCAGTGGAGGATGGTTTCATGGCACGGAGAGCTGCAGATACATTTAGACAACACCTGCTTGGACATCCAGGTCCCGTGTCTGTTGACAGGTACTTTCTTTGTTCCAAAACAAAACTAGAACAGGAATTTTCACATTGGTGGTCCATTCGACCTGGTTGAGATGTCTTTCTTTTTCTTATATTTCAATGTTTTAGCAAATAGTTCTGACCATCCAGGGTTTTTGCTAGGTCCTGATCTGCAGCGGTTGCAGGGTTCTTGTCTTGACACAGCTTCTGGCCAGGTAGGGAATGTGTACAAGTAACTGGGCATTCCAAAACAGAACGCTAAAAGGTGATGCAGGTGAGGGGCACCTGGGTGGGTCAGTCGGTTGGGAGTCCGACTTCGGCTCAGGTCATGATCTCACCGCTCATGGGTTTGAACCCTGTGTTGGGCTCTGTGTCTCCCTCTCTGTCTGCTCCTGCCCTGCTCACACTCTGTCTGTCTCTCTCTCTCAAGGATAAATAAACATTAAAAAAAAATTTTTTTTTTAAAGATGATGCAGGTGGAAAGGATGCTCCAGTAGCTCCTTTGCAGGAATACTACCCAATCCAAAGTTCTGATTTTTGGAAGGGGGTGGATGGTGACAACGGGGAATGATTGTCAGAAGAAGTGATGTCTGTGCTGAGACGCGAATAATAAACTAGAAGTTAGCCAGGTCAAAGTTTGGGGAAGGGAGACAAATCGGGTATTCTTGGCAGAAGAGACAGTATGAGTCTAGGCACCGAGGCAAGAAAAAACACAGTTCTGTTAAAGAATTGGAAGAAGTTCAGTCTCTTTGGAGTACTCTCTAAGAAGAATGTGTCAAGAGTCTACAGAGGTGGTCACATTCAGAGCTAAGCCCCTTTATGTTTGGGACTTTATTCTAGGCGGGGTCTATAGCAGGGGATTGACATCACAAAGACCCCTCTGGCTTCATAGTCAAGCATGGACTGGCTGGGGGAGCAGTCAGAGGGTTACTGCAGAAATTGAGGTGAGAAATCATCTTGGCCTCTGCTAGAGTAGGACAGAAGCCCTAAAGAGAAGTTGGATGAATTGGAGAGACGTAAGGGCCGGAATCTGCAGGAGTTCCTGAGAAAGTGGGCTTGAAGGCCTGAGCTAAAAGAAGGAGTCCAGAACTAGGTTTGCTCTGTCATCCTTGGACATGGAGCCACCATCAGTCATACATCTGGCCCCTATCGCTAGGTGGTTACACTGGCCCTCGGTGAACGGAACCGAGGAAAGTCATGCTTGGCTGAAGGGTGGGAGTAAGCAGAAGCATAGGACAGGTTTAGGCCTTTGATGATACGGGCTTGATTGACAGTCAGAGTGACTGTCTTTTGACAGTCTGATGTCCTTTACCTGGACTTGCAGGCATGGTGAGAAACCGCAGCACGTCTTGCATTTCTTTTGCATTTGCCCTAATTCTTGGAATAGCATGGAGAAATCGCTCACTGCGTCCAGAATGGCAATTGCACAGATGCTGGTTGTGTCACTCTTGAAGGCTTAACTGAAGAATGTTGAATGAAGGAACCATTTACAGAAGAGCAGGCTGTGTTAGAAGAACCAGCAATGGATGGAGAAGCACCCAGGTCTTAGCAACTGGGAAGCTGCTTCCACCCCAGGGACCGAGGAGAAGAGAAAGTTTCTGTGAGCTGGTGAGGACGGGAGCCCTGGGAGACAGACCGAGGCCCAGGGAGGGTTGGGAATAGGTCAGCATCCCTAATCTTCCTCTGTCCCGCCCTAAGGTCTCCTGTTCTTGCTTCTGAGTGGTTGCTGACAACTGGAAGGCAGAGTCTAGGGAGCCTGAGTGATGTGCTTAGTACATCGAGTTTTACTCTTGGAGCACAGAGCAAGGCAGAGAAGGGCAGAGAATGAATCTGGAGAAAGCAGAGACAAAAAATAAAATCGCAAAAAGTGTACTTACGTTCTGTCTTTTCGAAAATAGGTCTGATGTATATACGAGTGACAACTATACGAAAAACATGGCTACCTCGAACACCTCGTTAGTGACTGAACCTATATTTATACGGCCCTGCTTAATAAAAGGTGCTGTAGGGGCACCTGGGTGGCTCAGTCGGTTAAGTGTCTGACTCTTGGTTTCGGTTCAGGTCACGATCTTGCAGTTCTGGGGTTCAAGCCCCGCGTCAGACTGTGCACTGACAGCACAGAGCCTGCTTGGGATTCTCCTCTCTCTCTCTCTCCCTCTCTCTCTCTCTCTCTGCCCCTCCCCTGCTCTCTCTCTCTCAAAAATAAATAAATTTAGGGGCGCCTGGGTGGCGCAGTCGGTTAAGCGTCCGACTTCAGCCAGGTCACGATCTCGCGGTCCGTGAGTTCGAGCCCCGCGTCGGGCTCTGGGCTGATGGCTCAGAGCCTGGAGCCTGTTTCCGATTCTGTGTCTCCCTCTCTCTCTGCCCCTCCCCCGTTCATGCTCTGTCTCTCTCTGTCCCAAAAATAAATAAAGGTTGAAAAAAAAAAATCTAAATAAATAAATAAATAAATAAATAAATAAATAAATTTAAATAAATAAATAAATAAATAAATAAATGGTGCCATGCCTCTTCTAGAATTTTGATCAAGATTTCATTTAGCCTCGGTGATGCCCAGAGGAAAAGACCCTTTATTTGTCTCAAGCTGGAGGTGCGGAAGGGAAGTGCAGCAGGGAGTGGCCAGGGTGGCTGAGCTGAGAAACGGCTTTCACGATGGACTGTTGTCCTCTCCTCAGAGAGCAGGGGCCAGGGGGTGTGTCCTCTTCCAGTACAACAAAGCTGGGGAGTCAGGTAGGAGTGCTGCCGTCACCCTGCCCCAACCTGATTCTAACAGTGACATAGCCAGAGACAGATGAAGATGTGAAGAGAGGAAGGGGTATGTTTGAGCAGTAACCATTCATCAGTGGAATAAAAACTGCAAAATCTTTTTAATGTTGTCTCATCTAAAATGCCAACTCACTTACCCTTAATAGACACACTTGGCAGTTGTAACGTGGTGCTTTTTTTCCCTCTAGGAGAAAGTGCTCTCCTCCACCTCTGTTAGGAAACACACAGTAAAGGCCAAGTACTGCAATTTGTTTTCGTTTCCTGTGCTATTAAATATTCAGGCAATCAGGAAATGTTTCCTCATGTTACCTGGAAACAAAACACTAGATCCAGAAGTTCCAATTCTTGGAGCTAGTTTCTCAAGCTCTCTGGCAATATTTTTTATTAGAGGTGTTATGCAATCTTGAAAAGATGATTGATTTTCAGGCCAGTCCAATCTGGGTTTCATTATTAGCTTTTCTACTCATGATCTGGGTGACTTCAGTCAATTTACTTATCTTCATTGAATTTTTTAAATATATAAAATTAGGGTGATAGTATTTTTATGTATGCATATAGAATTTTAAGAATTAAATAAGTTGAGGGTGCCTGGGTGGCTCAGTTGGTTAAGCATCTGACTTCAGCTAAGGTCAGGTCATGATCTCACTGTTTGTGACTTCGAGCCCCGCATCGGGCTCTGTGCTGACACCTTGGATCCCGGAGCCTGCTTCAGATTCTGGGTCTCCCTGTCTCTCTGCTCCTCCCCTGCTCGTGCTCTGTCTCTCAAAAATAAAGAAACATTAAAAAAAAATTTTTTTTAAAGAATTAAATAAGTTGATATGTGCCTAATGCCTTACACCTAAGTAGGCACTTAGCAAAGACAATCTCCTCCCATTTACCTCTTTTTTTCTGTTCTAGAAATAATCTATCTCTCATAAGATCAGCAAAGGATTCTTTCAGTGGCATGATGATGCATTAAGAATTTTTTAATAGTTTATTAAGTGCTGGGAAAGCCCTGGGTAAAATATTGAGTTGAGAAGGTGTAACACAGCTGTTTGGACAGATGAAAATCACATTGTGACTTTTATATGTTTCTGTCTGATGCTGGAGCTACAGTAGCTGACAATTTGAAGAACTGGGTCAACGTGCAAATAGTACCTTTAGATTAATTTCTCCAGGAAAGACGGAGAAGGGCTTGAATCACTAAGGGGGTGGAATCCTACCACAGCCACATACAGTTTTATAGAAATGTTCCAGTAAGTCTTGATGGCAGGATTCTCTAGCCTGCTGTCAGATATGTAGGCAAGGAGAGTGACAGATAAAACAGCGTGCATGAGCCAGAGAAGGAATTTGAACCGACATATTTCTGCTGATGCCATAGTCATCCCAGGATCCTATTGACTTCAATTTGTATTAGGTTTCCAGGCTTCACAAATCCATTATCATCATGTTTGTGTACATGTTGTTCATGGGTGGCCCACGATATAGAATGTGTGTTGTAGTCAATTTTTTTTCTAGTTCTACAGATTTTTCTACTGTGTTCCTTCCATCTTTTCTTGGACAATCCTTCATAAAATGAGAAGTGTACCATTTGGAGGCAGATGCTTACAGCTTTTGGTGTCATGGAGGAGAGAAGAACTAACTAGTAATATCAGCATTGAGCTAAGCAAACTAACCAAACCTCTGTTACAAACTAGTGTTCAGAGCAGCTGAGAACTAATGAGATGTAGTCTTGGATGTCTGCGTGTTGGGGCTCCTGGGCGGCTCAGTCAGTTGAGGGTCCGACTTCAGCTCAGGTCATGATCTCTCAGTTTGTGAGTTTGAGCCCCGCATCAGGCTCTGTGCTAACACCTCAGAGCCTAGAGCCTGCCTCAGATTCTGTATCTCCCTCTCTCTATCCCTCCCCCACTCATGCTTGCTCTCTCTCTCTCTCTCTCTCTCAAAAATAAATAAACATTTAAAAAAATAAAAAAAGAAGTCTGTGTGTTGTAGTGGAAAGAAATTGTGGCTTTGAAAATAGACAGACCTAGGTTTAAACCCCAGCTCTTTGTGATCTTGGGCACCTAAGTTTACCCCTCTAGGCCCCAGTTAATCCATCTGTAAATAATAAAATAATGAAAGCATCATGAGAGCCACCTTTCAGAATTTTTACACAAATTAAATGTCTCTCAAGATGACGTGTGTATACCTTCATGGATAAGGTTGGTTTTATCAAGGAATATATAAAGCCACTGAATGAAAAGGTATACCTTAGGGGAACATCAATTTTGCTCTGCATTTGGGGAGAATAGAATTTATTGTAGAGTTCGTTCACATGAATTTTAAAGCTAAAACATGAAATTTAAAACAAATTTATGCTTGCAGTTATTTCAGCTCAAACTTAGATTCCCTAAAAGTACAAGTTGACTCATTTCAACAGTTAAGAGTTCTCAGAAAGCTGTTAGAGGAACTTATGCATATAGCGATATTTGGTAAATGTTATCAGTCAAGTCACAGTGAAAGAAACAGAAGTCAGTCTAGGTAACTTAAGCAGAAAGGTATTTAAGGAATTAGTTGTCTACCAAAAATGGGAAGACCTTTTTGATCGAGTCTCCATTAATGACCCTCGGGAGTCTTTAAAACTGATTTAATCAGGAAAAAGTAGAGAACCAGGAGGTTGCCATTGGAATTACCAAAATTGTGCAGGACCTGAGGGGTGATCCAGGAATGAGGGAACTGGCACCTTGCAACTGCCTCTTGACACCCAGGAGGCTGAGTGAATGGACACTGGCTGTCCCAGCCAGCTGCCATCGCTTCTTGCCTTTGACCCTGACAGCCTTGCTTACCAGCATGGCAATCAAAACTGCCACCTTCCTAAGCAAGGGAAGACATCAAGTGTATGTCTGGCAGAACCTAGCATATTTCCAAAACCCTACCTGTAAGGGACTCTGGGAAGATGGAATTTTTTTTTTTTTTTTTTTTTTTTTTTTTTTTTTTAGCATTCTACGTTGTAAAGAGGGTGCAGTGAGCTTGAGTTAGCCAACTCACAGTATCCATCACACAATGTTGGCTAGATGATAGGAGCTCAAGAAATGCTAATTCTCGTCCCTGTGCCTGTAAAGACTCAAAATAAGAGCTTACAGGAAACTCTGAGCCTTGATAAGGTTGGGGGAATTGTGATTAAACTAGTCCCTCCCCTACAGCATCAGTTTTGATGAGTTTTGGAAATAGGTTGTAGTGGCAGACAGTAGGCTCACCAAATAGTCCATTTGTCCCCCCGAATCTCTAAGTCTTATAGTTGTGTTGGGCCTTGTGACTAATTCTGGCTAATGAAATATGAGAAGAGGTGATGTGTGTGCTTCTGAGCTGAGGCAGTGATTGGCAAGTGTGTTCTTGGAGGTGCACCTTTAAAATGGTGGAGTTTCCTTAAGACTGGCTTCCTGAGTGACCTGGTGGAGCAGATCCCCACCCCACCCACCTCAGGCCCTTTGGGGAACATAACATGTTATTTTCACAAACTTTAGTTATGCTCGGTAACTGAGATTTCAGGATAATTTAACGGCACAGCATAAACCAATCTTACTGTGACCAATATGATCATCATGGACATGTCCTAACAGTGCATTCAAGCTGAGTAATATTTCCTGGGAGATAACAGTCATTCTCAAAGAGCTAGGCACCTTGAGTAAATGCAGTTTTTTCCCTCTCTTTCCCAGTTTTTATAGATTTTTAAAAACATTTTAATGTTTATTTATTTTTCAGACAGAGAAAGACAGAGCATGAACAGGAGAGGGTCATCAGAGAGAGAGGGAGACATGGAATCCGAAGCAGGCTCCAGGCTCTGAGCTGTCAGCACAGAGCCTGATGTGGGGCTCAAACTTGTGAGCTGTGACATCATGACCTGAGCCGAAGTCGGACGCTTAACCAACTGAGCCACCCAGGCGCCCCCCACTTTATATAGTTTTTAATGTAGAGTCTAAAAGCAATCATATGGCTTCTTTTTTAGTTGGCATTATCCAAGTGAACGAGCATGACCTGAAGGTACCCGATAAAGGACCTTTTCACATTCAGAACATGTGAAAAGCATCCTTTGTTATTGTAGTTATAGGGTTGCTTTGGAAACTGTTTTAATATTTGTGATTAATGCT